GGCCCTCTCGGCATTTTGAATATGAATGGCCCTCTTGGCGGCTTGAACATGATGGCCCTCTCGGCGATTTAAATATGAATGGCCTTCTTGGCAATTTAAATATGAATAGCCTTCTTGGCAATTTAATATGCAATGGCCCTCTCGGCATTTTGAATATGAATGGCCCTCTTGGCGGTTTGAACATGATGGCCCTCTCGGCGATTTAAATATGAATGGCCTTCTTGGCAATTTAAATATGAATGGCCTTCTTGGCAATTTAATATGCAATGGCCCTCTCAGCATTTTGAATATGAATGGCCCTCTTGGCGGTTTGAACATGATGGCCCTCTCGGCGGTTTGAATATGAATGGCCCTCTTGGCGGTTTGAACATGATGGCCCTCTCGGCGGTTTGAACATGATGGCCCTCTCGGCGGTTTGAATATGAATGGCCCTCTCGGCAATTTGAATATGAATGGCCCTCTCGGCAATTTGAACATGATGGCCCTCTCGGCGGTTTGAATATGAATGGCCCTCTCGGCAATTTGAATATGAATGGCCCTCTTGACAGTTTGAATATGTAATGACTATGAACGTCGTTTTTCATCAATATTTGATATGATGATAGGTATTTTTTCATAACAGCATTTTCATCGGAATCTCGCAACCTTAAGTGGTAAATACTCTTTTTTAATCCGTCAAATACCTCTTTGATCAAATGAAGACGTTACACTCACTAATAGATATTCGTTGGATATGTTCTCTTGAGCTAGTTGGTTGATAAATATAGTTCATTTGATGATCTTATTATACCCTGCATCCACAAAAACATGTTAGTTTTGGAACACTGATCTGTGTTGAAATTGCCCTGCTCCTGGTCTCGTTATCTCTGGAACTTTGTCCGGTAGGTCCGATGAATTGCAGTAGACAAAAGACAAGATCATATTAAAACATTTGCTAGGTATGAATTTTTTTTGAAAAATAGTTTTAAAGAAAATCTCTGCCAATTAATTGTCACGACATGCACGAGACGAACAAAATCCTTTGTCTCAGATTTTGATATGACAGGTAGCTTGCAGGCAACTTAAAACCCTTTAAGAACACGTCGATTTGAGGCAATTGAAGTTGACTTCGAAGGTCTGAGTATCCTTGATGGAATTTTTGAGGTCCTTCTCAAAAATTTTGTCCCAGTTGGATGTTTCAAAAACAAATCTGATGATGATCACGAGAGTCTTGAATTTGAGATCTTCTAAAAATTACTTCCAGTTGCACATTTCGATATGATCCTTGACTCTTATTAGTAGGAAATGACTCTTCTTGTAGAATTTTTGAGGTCCTCTCAAAAATTCTGTCCCAGTTTCCAATATGAGGGGAAATGGAAATCTTATTGGGAATATGACCGAACCCTTGTGGCGCCTATGTATCCCGTTGAGGCAGGAATCAGGTCAAACGTAGTTCCCACTCGAGAAGTGACAAAAAAGAAAATTTTATGAGGAAATGACCGAGGCCGCCTACGTATCTCATTCTCGAGAATTCAGGTCGAACGTAGTTCAAGTACTAAGAAAACATTACAAATTGATAAATAGGTGACCGAGATCGACATAGGCCGCCTACGTATCTCATTTTTGAGAATTCAGGTCAGACGTAGTTCATTGCAAGAGGGATAAAATCTAAAACGATGCGATTACAAACAAATAGAACGATTACAAGGAAATGAAAAGAAAATACAAACTGAGGTTTCACACATAGTATCTCTTAACGGCATCTGAATTGATAGCTTTGCGCCATTCGGTGCCATCCATCTCCGACAGGATCAAGGCACCTCCAGATAACACTTTGTGAACCATGTAGGGCCCTTGCCAATTTGGCGCAAATTTTCCTTTATATTCATCTTGGTGAGGGAAAATGCACTTAAGAACCAACTGACCAACCTCAAATTTCCTGGCTCGTACTTTCTTGTGAAAAGCACGAATCATTCTCTGTCGATACAATTGACCATGACAAACGACAACCATTCTCTTCTCATCAATCAATGTTAGCTGGTCAATCCGCTTGCGAACCCATTCAACGTCATTTAATTCAGCTTCTTGGATGATTCTCAATGAAGGTATTTCAACTTCAGTAGGTATAACTGCTTCTGTCCCATACACCAACAAATATGGAGTTGCTCCGACTGATGTTCTGACAGTCGTTCTGTAACCCAACAAAGCATATGGCAACATCTCGTGCCAACCTCTGCGATTTTCAATCATCTTCCTCAAAATCTTCTTTATGTTCTTGTTGGCGGCTTCTACAGCTCCGTTCATTTGGGGACGATAGGCGGTGGAATTCTGGTGAGTAATCTTGAATTGTTCACATATCTCTCTCATCAAGTGACTGTTAAGATTCGCTCCATTATCAGTAATGATAGATTCTGGTACTCCAAATCTGCATATCAAATTGTTGCGAACAAAATCAGCTACAACTTTCTTGGTCACCGATTTATATGAAGCTGCTTCCACCCATTTGGTGAAGTAGTCAATCGCAACCAAAATGAATCTGTGTCCATTAGAGGCGGCTGGCTCTATTGGACCAATGACGTCCATGCCCCAAGCTACAAATGGCCAAGGTGAACTCATAGCATTGAGTTCATGAGGCGGCACTCGAATTAAATCACCATGCACCTAACATTTATGACATTTCTGCACAAACTTGCAACAATCGTGCTCCATAGTCATCCAAAAATAGCCGGCTCGAAGGATTTTCCTTGCCAGAGTGAGTCCATTCATGTGAGTACCACAGGCTCCAGCATGTATTTGTTCCAGAAGCTTTGCAGCTTCACTAGCATCGACACATCTGAGAAGACCTAAGTCTGGAGTCCTCATATAAAGGATTTCCCCACTTGCAAAGAAATTGAGGGCCATACAGCGTATCGACTTCTTCTGGTTGAACATTGCATTCTCAGGATAAGTCCCGGTCTCTAAATACTTCTTGATGTCAGAATACCAAGGCAAGCCATCTGGTTCTGCTTCGACATGTGAACAATGGACGGGCTGCTCTTTTACTTCTATATCCACTGGGTTAATATAACTTGTATCTGGTTGTTTAATCATTGAGGCAATGGTGGCGAGAGCATCGGCCAACTCATTCTGTGTTCTGGGAGTATGTCTGAACTCAATCTTGCGAAATCTTTTGCGCAATTTCTGTATATATTGCACGTACGGAGTGATCTTTGGGTTCTTCACGGCCCATTCTCCTTGAACTTGGTGAATCAGCAGATCTGAATCTCCAATAACCAACAGCTCATGAACATTTATATCGATGGCCATCTTCAAACCGAGGATGCAAGCTTCATACTCGGCCATGTTGTTCGTGCAATTAAATTGGAGTTTAGCCGCCATAGGATAATGCTGACCGGATTCTGACACTAAGACTGCTCTGATACCTTTCCCTTGGTGATTTGCCGCTCCATCAAAGAATACTCTCCAACCAGGATATGCTTCAGAAATATCTTCACCCACAAACGCTACTTCTTCATCGGGAAAATAAGTCTTGAGCGGTTCATACTCTTCATCAACTGGATTCTCCGCAAGATGATCAGCCAAGGCTTGTGCTTTTATCGCCTTTTGTGTCACATACACAATGTCAAACTCACTCAAAAGCATTTGCCACTTAGCCAACTTCCCGGTCGGCATTGCTTTCTGGAAAATATACTTCAATGGATCCATCCTGGAGATAAGGTACGTGGTATAAGAAGACAAATTATGTCTCAACTTTTGAGCGATCCAAGTCAAAGCACAACATGTTTTCTCCAAAAGAGTGTAACGAGCCTCATATGGAGTGAACTTTTTACTCAAGTAATAAATGGCTCGCTCCTTCTTTCCAGTCTCATCATGTTGACCAAGCACGCATCCCAATGCATTATTTGAGACCGACAAATATAGCAATAATGGACTCCCTTCTCGTGGAGGGACTAACACCGGTGGATTGGACAAATAGTCCTTGATGGTATCGAAAGCAGTTTGACATTCTCCGGTCCACTTGGTTGAGGCATCTTTTTTCAATAACTTAAAGATGGGCTCACACACCACGGTGGATTGAGCTATGAACCGGCTGATGTAGTTCAACCTTCCTAAGAAACTCATCACCTCTTTTTTGGTCTTCGGAGGAGGTAAGTCTTGAATTGCCTTGATCTTGGAAGGATCTAGCTCGATACCTCTTCTACTAACTATGAATCCGAGTAACTTCCCTGCAGGTACTCCAAATGCACATTTGGCTGGGTTCAATTTCAAATCATACCTACGTAACCTGTTAAAGAACTTTTCCAAGTGTGTTAGGTGATCCGAACTCTCGCGGGATTTTATGATGACATCGTCCACATACACCTCAATTTCTTTGTGGATCATATCATGGAAAATGGTGGTCATAGCTCTCATGTAAGTGGCTCCAGCATTCTTGAGGCCGAACGGCATCACTCGATAATGGTACACTCCCCAAGGTGTGATGAATGCTGTTTTTTCTGCATCTTCTTCATCCATTAGAATCTGGTGGTATCCCGCAAAGCAATCCACAAAAGATTGCAACTCATGCTTAGCACAATTATCGATGAGTATGTGGATGTTTGGCAAAGGGAAATTATCTTTTGGACTTGCTTTGTTGAGATCCCGATAATCCACGCATATCCTGATTTTTCCATCTTTCTTCGCCACTGGAACAATGTTGGCCAGCCAAGTAGGATACTTGGTCACTTCAACAACTTTTGATTCGATCTGCTTCATGACCTCCTCTTTTATCCTTAAACTCAGATCGGGCTTGAACTTTCTGGTTTTCTGCTTTACTGGACAGTACTCTGAATTGATAGGCAGCTTATGAGAAACAATATCAGTGCTTAACCCTGGCATATCATCATAAGACCAGGCAAACACATCGATGTATTTTCTGAGCAGCTTGATCAATTCTTCTCTTTCTGTTGCTGCCAAATGGACACTGACTCGTGTTTCTCTGACCGACTCGCCATCTCCTAAGTTTACTGTCTCTGTTTCATCTAGGTTGGCTTTTTATCATCTTCAATTTGCCTCAAGTCCTCGGTAAGGTGTTCAGGCATCATAGTTTCCTCATCATATTCTTCACATTCACCTTCATCGACCTTACTTAGTTCGCCGTGTTCGTGACATGTCATGACATTGGCAGGTTTAGATTCATTTTTACTGAAAAGAACAACAAATCAACCATGTTAGATAGAAAGGGTTTAAATGTATTTGTTGCAGAATAATTCGCAATGGCAAGATAATCAATTTAAAATAAACGAGGCTTTCATTGGAATTTTAAAAAAGGAGTACAAACTTTGGTCATGACTCATGAGTCATTTCCTTTTTAAACATTACGATGAAAAATAAAGTGACATAAATGGTGGTTTTGGGCCTCGTCCGAACAACACCGATTTTCAAAAAATAAAACTTCAAATCTTGTCTTTGTCTACCAAGCCATTCGATGGATCATAAGTGGAGTGGCCATCCAATTATGCAGCGTCTCTCCAGGTCCGGCATCTCGGATGGTGGGTGTTGTTGTGCATTCTGTCGAGATCACATCACAATCTTCTTCATCAAACAATCTTCCCATCCCTTCCACTAGATCATCAATCTCAGGCTCTAAAGCTTTAGCAACAAATGACTGGTACAATGCTGGAATAGGCTTCGGTATATCACAATCATGTTTCTTCCTTGTTTCTGCTTCAAACAATTCTTCTTCTGTTGGGGCATAACCGATACCGAATCGAAAATTTTGAAGTGGTATAGGAAGAGGTTCGGATATGCCATCCAAATTCTTGCCTAACTCACGCCCAGGTTCAAAACCACTTCTCAGCATAGTTGTGGCTAGCATTTTATACATTTGCGGCATTGGTACTTGCAATGTCGTATCTTCGAAAGTAGCATTCATTATCTCCACCATGTGAAAGTCAGTTCTCTGAGAAGACTCTTCGATAACTCGAATGGAGAAACTAGGGTACCTACAGTCACTCCCTTCACCATGAATGACAATTTCATGTTCCTCCCAGATGAACTTCAAAAGTTGATGCAATGTGGATGGAACTGCTCCAACAGCATGGATCCATGGTCTTCATAGCAATAAGTTGTAACTTGTAGATATACCCATCACCTGGAATTCAGTGACAAATTCTGCAGGCCCCATTTGGATACACAAGTCTACTTCTCACATGGTCTCCCTTTGCGAACCATCAAACGCCCTTACATTCATGCGGCTTTGACGGATTTTCCCTACATCATAATTTAGCTGAGTAAGGGTTGATAATGGGCAGATATTAAGTCCTGAGCCATTATCAATCAATACTCGCGCTACAAACTTGCCCCTGCATTTGACGGTGATATACAAGGCACGGTTGTGCATAACCCCTTCGAGTGGCAACTCTTCTTCTCGAAAAGAGATTTGATGTCTCCCAATGACATGACTTACCATGGTGGCCAGAGTCTCACCACTTGTTCCCGTCGGCACATATGCTTCATCAAGTACCTTCAACAGTGCTTTTCGATGGTACTCAGAACTCATTAATAGAGCCCAAATAGAAATTTGAGCGGGAGTCTTCTCCAAATGTTTGACAATGGAATACTCTTTAGGCTGCATTCTTCGCCAAAACTCTTCAGCCTCACCCTCTGTGATCGGCCTTTTCTGGTTCTCCTTTCTTCGTGTCTCCTGAGTTAGTTCTTCTGGAATGTAGCATCTTCCAGAGCGTGTCATCCCTTGTGCGGTGGCCGCCTGGACAACAAACCTTTCTTCGAACTGCTCATTGCTTTTTTCCTTCACCAAAGCAAATGCCTGATGAGGTGCAGTTATTACAACAAACTCTGGGCGGGCCTTTATGGTCAATGAGGCCACTGTTGGTATAAGTGAGTTGACAGCTGCTTCACCGATAGTCCCATTAGCAAGCCAATCTTCGTCTCTTTCAATCATGTTGATGGTAGCTCCTCCATGATTCGGCAATGGGTTAAGGTTCACATTGGGGGCAGGGGCTTGGAGAGTGATGACCCTGTTATCGATCAAGTCTTGAATCTTATGTTTCAGATTGATACATCCTTCTGTATCATGTCCTGCCCCTCCAGAATGGTATGCACAACGTTGATCTGCTCGAAAGAACTTTGTTGTGGGATTAATTGCCCTTGCGTCTACTGCTTGGATCAATCCTGCCGCTCTTAGACGCTCAAAGAGTTGGGTACGCGTTTCTGCCAAAGGAGTGAAAACTCTGGGAGGATTTCTTTCGAGGTTAGGGCGGGGTAGATTGTTGGCATTCGGGTTGTTTTGTCCAGGATTTTGGTAGACTGGTGCATTGGCTTGGTGATTTGGTAGTATATTTTGGTAGGTTAGTGGTTGATTTTGGTAGATGGGCGGTGGTGCTTGGTAGTTCTGTTGTGCATAGTAGATTGGGATTGGAGCTTGTGGAGATGATGGGTAAATATTTGAAGTGGGGAATCGGTTGGAGTTTTCAATGGCAGAACCAGACCCAAAATACCTTTGCGGCCTTGGCCTCGGGCTAAAAGATACAGCAGACACGTCCTCTTTCTTTTTCCTAGCGAATCCTGTGGCCATGGATGGTGAGGATTTGTTGGCGGCCTGCAAGGCAGTGAGACTTGTAACCTTTCCAGACTTGAGGCCATCTTCTATTACCTCTCCCATTCTGATCAGCTCCGAAAACTTCTGTCCCATCATAGGCAACATCCTTTCATAATACTCGGGCTCCTGAGCTCGAATAAAAGCAGAGGTTATTTCATTTTCGGTCATCACGGGTTGTACCTTTGCAGCTTCTTTCCTCCAGCGGCACGCATATTCACGATAGTCCTCCGTGGACTTTTGCTTGATTTTTTCCAAATAATATCTGTCAGGGACAGCTTCGACATTAAACTGGAATCTCTCCAAGAAATCTTTGGCCAGAGCCCCCCATGTAGACCACTGACGGAGTTCTTGAGATGTGAACCATTCTAACGCCTCCCCGCTGAGGCTTCGACTAAACAACCTCATAATCAATGCATCATTTTTCCCGATACCCACGAGTTTATCACAATAAGCTCGTAGGTGAGCCATAGGGTTCCCAATACCATTGAAGGTTTCAAATTTTGGAATTTTGTAACCTTCAGGTATTTCCAAGTCAGGGTGCATGCAAAGGTCCTCATACTCAAGTCCTGTTATCTTCCTCGAAGATTGGACACTTTTTACTGCCTCGGAGATGGCATCCTTCATGATATTCATTTCTTGTTCACGTTTTTCTTCTCTCAACCTCCACTCCTTCTCCATTTCTTCATAGTGATCCAGCTCCGGCTGAACGGGAAAGCTAGGGCATGGTTCAGGGATTGTATAGGCTGGTGGAGTTTGGAATGTTACGGAAGGGTATGCAGGCTGGCTAGGCAAAACACGTGGATTATCAGTAGCTGGGGGTGGGATTTGGTAGGTTGGTGTGAAGTTTTGGAAGTGATTAGTGTTAAGTGCTTGGTTCTGATTTGGTAATGGTGGTGGTGTTTGGTAGGAAGTGTTGGCGTAAGGAGCATTGGATACAGTTAAATCAATGGTATGAGGGTTAGGGGTGGAAGTGATTGTTCCTGTGGTATGGGTAGGGAAATGGTTGGGTAATGGGGAACTTAGTGATGGAAAAGGAGGAGGCGGTCTTCTAGTTTCAAGGGGGGGTTCATTCGATGCAATGGCCAATTTGGCCAGATCTTTGGTCTGTTGAAGCTCTTCCTGCATGTCTGCAATTCGTTGCATTAACTGATAGATCAACTCACTCTGATCAGCGAGTTCAGCATTTCTGATAGTCACATCCACTATTCCTGTTTCTTCAGAAGTACCAGTCATTTTGCTCTTGCCTTTCTCCAGAGAATGATCAGGGAAGGATGGTATGATTGCTTTAGATCTTGTAAAGTAGGGATGGTCAGCCAGTTTGATTTCAACACAGATCAGTTTTTACCTGTAGAGAAGAACAACTCAAAAGACATATGTGTTAGTTTTTGTTTTTAACGAGATATGCAAATAAAGTGACATAATAATAACCACACAAGTGTCATTTTGCTTCAAGCAGATTAATCCACGAAAATATTTTGGGTGAACGGGAGGACTCAAATGGAAAGAAATTTTTCTTGTAATTGAATTGGAAAGGTCGACTTGCATAGAACCTTGCTATTTTCTCCCACTCATATGCTTTTGTAGGTGAAAGTCTTCAGAATCATTCACTAATAAGGGAGAATAGAAATCAAAAAGATAAGGACCGAGCCTTAAGTAGGCTGCCTACGTATCCACCAAGGAAATCATGCCCGACGTAGTTCGAATTACATAAGATAATCTAAATGTACCCTTCCCAAAATTGATAGAGAGACTAGGCTCGAAAAGAGCTTCCTACGTACCCCTTATGGGCTCAAGTCTCGCGTAGTTCTTGATTACAATAAAAATTTAAAACAACATGACAAACATAAGAAAAGTGCTACATGAACCTAAATCTACCCAAAGGCTTCTCTCCTTCTTCTTCAACTGTAGGGTGACGATCCGGTGCTCTCGTCATCTGAACCTACTTTTGTTTTGCTTTTTCCCTTCATGGAGGGAGCATTCCCAAAATTTAGTTCCTTAATGTCCCGTTCAATTTCAGGTATCCTTGCAGACGCTTGAGTGATATTAATTATCTCTTGATCAATTTTTGCAATCTTTCTTTTCATCGAGGTTGTTTCCATGTCAACCTTAATCATTCTCTCTCGTAGCACCCATTCAGTTTGGTCCAATATTGCAAGTCTCTTTTTGGCTACAACTATCTTCTCTCTAGTCTCGACAAATTTTCTGAACATTGACTCTTCAGTTTCTTCATCACTAACCAAAGCAACGGGTGGGATTGGTGCGTTGACACTTTTTCAAGACATTCTAGCAAGTCGACCTTCCTGTGATGGACGAATAAAATTGAGGAGATTTTTAGAGGAGATGGTTTATATATTTCTGAGAAACTTGGACAACACTTCAGAAGTAATTTGGACGGACTTTGTTGTTGTGAATTTAATATATGCTTAGAGTGCTCTAAGAAACAAAAGTGGATTAATTCTGCTTTAGACAAAGTAACACATCACAACACAAAACAATTATAAGCAACACAGAAACAGTTTATATCGCGCCCTAAACTTGTGACCTTTTTACGCCAAAGGTAGGCCTATCGAATTGAAGGATATATGACGTCATTTGAAACATTTTATTGCCCCAAAACCCAAATTTATACAAGTTTTACGAATAAACTAAATGGGGATACATAATAGGGGAAATGGGATACAAAATATCAGTCCCGCGCAGGGGTACAATCCTAATCTATGCTTCCAAGGAAAGATCATATGTCCTTGATTTCTTGTCATCTTCGAATGTCCACACTCTTGGATGTTATGATAATTTGATCCTTCTTCGACTCGAACAAACGATTAAAACTCAACCCCAAGAGACAATGGTTTGCTAAATGGCGTATACATCCTTCAAATTCAAACACATAAGCATGATTGTCTTTTATTGACCAATGGGCCAAATAGACACAAGGTGGACTTCTAATGGGCCCAAACACGCCTTGGGTGTTGGGTCGACTTAGTTCAAATGCGCTAAATTTGGGATTTGGTTTGGCTCTACACTAGTCTTGACTAAGAGTGAGGTTTATTTGAAGTGGACTGGTGACCCAAGCGGACTACTTGGGCTGGGACAGTTAACGACCGTTGACTATCCAGTAGCCAACTACATTCGTCAGGGTGTCCCGAGAACAATTTGGTTAACGAACGACTGCGGCCCGCATAATCGTCCTTTAAGTGAAAAGAAAGAAAAAAAATGTCATTTGACGGAATAAATGATATGCATGCAATGACAATTGATATCATAATTTAAGCAAATAAGGCACATTTGAGGTAAAACAATTCAACAAATATTAGCAAATAGTCAAAGAGAGTCAAGTCATTATGGTTATAACCTAATTAAATCCCCAGCGGAAATCGCCATTTCTGTTATGCCGTAATTTTACTAACCTTTAGAAAAATCACTTTTTTGAACTGTTCTAAGTATAAAGCAATTTGAGAAAAATACCTAGAAAAGAGTCGCCACTTAATTTTTTTAAGAAATTAAGAAAACTTATAATTTTCAAAGATTTAAACAGAAAAAATCATTTGAAAATACCAAAGGGGGTTCGGGGTTCAATTTACACTTCGAGAAGGGTTTAAGCATTCGAAGTGCCCGCTAACATGCGATTGACCTGCGACTTGACTAAAATATATTTTGACTATTTTTAGAAAAATAATGATTTAACATAAAAAATAATAACTTGCAATAGTTGATTAACTTTGAGAAAATAATTAAATAAATGACACATTTTATTTGATTTTTTAGAGAAAAGGGCTCAAAATGGAACAATTGACTCGAAATACGAGTGATTAGATTATTAATAAAAACTAGACTAATTAGAATTTATTTGATTCATTTTGAAATAACAATTTAAACCAATTTAATAAATTAAAGCATGAACATCATTTTAAATTAATTGACTAACTCTTTTTGAGTAAATGACAAAGTAATGTTTTATATGTATATATTTTTTATTAATTGGGAAAAGTTTTGACTAACATTTAAAAGCTTATTTAAGAAAAATATTTTAACTAAAAATAATAATTTTAAAATGAGTATAATATGAATAAGTGAAGAGGCGTTAAAACATATATCTTAAGAATAAAAGGTTTCACTTAATTAGAAAGTATAATTTGATCAACATATTTGAATAATAAAGTAAAATAAATATTAAGAGTTAACCAACACAAAGAAAATAACTTGTCTTTTGGGGAATTTAATTAAGTTAATTAACAATTCTAAAATTAGAGTTAATGATAAAAAAAAAAAAACAATAATTAAAATCAATTAAATAAATTAAAGGTAAAGGAGAAATGAACTTGGGCCCCCTTTTTGGGCCAAATTTTGCTGAAAATTTTGGCCTTTAAACCAATTCCGTTTTTGTATACACAGGCTGTATATTAGTGTGTATCGGAATGTATATCAGCTCTTTTCGTGTATCTCCTGCTTCTGAACACCTATATTTCACCTCCGCCCTGTATTTTTGCGTTTTGGGCCTGTATATCAGTGTATACTTGTGTATACAATATGTATACGACCCATTTTTCGGCTCTAAATATCTGTGTTTTCTGTTTTCCAGCCCTGTGCTTCTGTTTTATGTGCCTGGCTGACTCGAATGACGAAGAAAAATAAAAATAAAAATTGAGCCTTTATGGCTCAACTCGAGGATGCTAGGAAGAGAAGTCCACCATGGACTCGGAAGGGATTCACATGCAACAAAAATGATAATAAGAGTTAGCATCCGATAATAATAGAGCAACAATTATACCTAAGACAAATCACAACTACTCTTATGGCAAATGGCTCGATTGAATTAAACAGTGCAGATCTAGGTAAGGAGCACAAATTCTAAAGACGCAAGCTATGCTAATGATAAAACAAATGGTTACTTAAACTACTGTTAGCGCTTAATATCCACAACAATACATATACTATCCAGCCCATTTGATAAACAAATGCATGCTAACAAATGACACCAACAGTTTAAGGCAAAGAAAGTTAGGGCAACTTTAGTTGCTACTAAATGCGTAAACATTATAAAATGCCCACAACAAAATATATACTAAATGCATATCCAAATCCCTTGAATGCTAACACTACCATTAAGTGAGTAAGCATATATATACACAGATAGAAGTGAAAATCAACCAAGCATTCTGGAAACTTTCACAATATAAAAATGGGCTAAAAAACAAGAACTAGCAATTTTGGGAGGGAAATTATAACTATTGGATATCAAAATATCCTACAATTAGTCATGAAAAAAAATTCCTACAACAAGATATAGATTCTAGGGGAATTTTCAAGCGGAAATGCTACTGCCTCTAATAACTTAAACTAGAATCAATTACAAACCAAATTAAAAGGCTGATTTTTATATGAAACTCAAGATGCCATATACATGAATCAAAAGCAATATACATATATATTTTATTTTATTTTTACCATTAAGCTAATTTTGAAGAGAAAAGGATAAAGTGAACCGAGAAATATAATGCAAAGATCTATGGCGGTCACTTCCAGATTCGAATGGAAATACGGTACTAAAGGAAGCAACATGTCGAAAAGATTTAGACAAAATGTAAGTTAGGACTCTTTCCGAATACATCTAGGCACATAAGATGAATAGAACACCTTCATGAATTTGAAATAATATACATAAGACATGAATGACAATGAATGATTATAATGCAGTGATATAGTGAAGTCATCAATTCTACATATAAGAAAAAATGGACTAGTGACTGGAAATTCAAAACGAAAACATGTTCCTTGCTACTTCCATCCTATTTTCACATATCATAAGATCAGCCCGAACTCAAATAGGACGAATATATAGCTAATTCATCAAATGGCAAGTAAACCAACATGATATAGGAGAAGAGATGAAGTTACCTCTTTCGGAGCAGCGAACCGGGACAGCGAGCTAGACCATGAAGCTTTTACACCACTGTGACCTTAACTCGAGCAAGAAGAAAATTGATACAAAAATAGCTCTCGATTTTTCGTCCTCTTGATAAAAATAAACATATATTATTATTTTTTTTAGAATGTCAGATCTCCCCCCATCACAGTGGAAGGATAGGGGTATATATAGGGGAGATTCGAATTGAGAAAGGTGGGAAAACAAGTGGAAAGGAAGAATTTGAATTCGAAATTCAAGTTCTCTTTTCGAAGCAACAGTGGAAGGAATGGGAAATCCTTGAAAATGGGGAAAAGGGAACGTGAGGGGT